GAGGGTGGGTGTGCACTGGAGGCTATTATTATTATTATTATGACAGTATTATTATTATTATTATTATTATTATTATTATTATTATTATTATTATTATTATTATTATTCCCCGCTCAAGGGAAGTTTAAAGGGGACTATATATAGAAGAGCGGGCTGTGAGTCTGTCGGTTTGAGTTTCGTTATCAGAATGTGACTCAAAGGTACAGTACAGGTTGCCGAGGTATTACAGTTTATAATGCAAATTGGTCTATTATTAAAAACGGGTTAATTTTTTATATGTACATACTGTATATTATGTAGAGTAGGCTTAATTTTTTTGTGAATATCATTATGTAACTGGCTGTAGCTCACTCACTCACTCACTCACTCTCACTGTCTCTCATCTTGACTGTTTCTAATCTTGCCTCCAGCGTGTCAGGTGAATCTTGTCAGGTGGTGGTGGTACACGCTGGCCAGCTCCACCTCCCACCTTTTTTGTCTTGTATGTCGAAGTCTTAAGTTACTCCTCCACTTCTTCTTCCTCCTCCACCTCCTATTCTTCCTTCTCCAGCTCCTCTTCTTCCTCCTCCACCTCTTCTCCTTCCTCCTCATCTTCCTCCTCATCCCTTCTCTTCCTCCTTCTCCTCCACCTCTTCTTCCTCTTTCTTCTCTCTTGATCACGTTTTGATTAGTCTTCTTCCTTTTCTCCTCCTCCTCCTCCTCCTCCTCCTCCTCCTCCTCTCCCTCCTCCTCCTCCTCCTCCCCGAACCCTTTATTACCCACAGTTGTTTGCGGCGAACAGTTTCTACAGTACAGGCTGGGTAAGAGACGGGTGTATAGTGCTAATGTTTAGTTTCTTTCTTTCTTGTTTGTTTTTTCTTCTTTTTCTTCTCGTGTATTTTTCTTTTTCATTTTTCTGTATTTATTTTTTTTTATTTCTCTAATCCAATTCCAGCTCACTTGTATGCCGAGCTAAACCTTTTTATAATACCGAATTGTTTATACCAAGGGGAGTCCAAATAGCCCGTGTGTGTGTGTGTGTGTGTGTGTGTGTGTGTGTGTGTGTGTGTGTGTGTGTGTGTGTGTGTGTGTGTGTGTATGCTGTACTAGCCAACATCTCCGGAGCTTGTCGTGCTCTGACTGCCATAAAGTGACCTATGACGCAATGAATGTGTGTTTGGCCACCACCAGTGAGAGGTTACAGTCGCTCCCCTCCTCCCCCTTCCTGGTCCCCTCCCTCCTCTGCCTACTCATCTTCCCTCCCTCCTCGACCCCCTATTGTTTATGTAGTTATTTGAAATTTGTTTATGTGTAATGGTAGCTATAGTCTGACTAAATGACTAATAAATCCAAGTGTTGGGTTGGAACAGTTGGGTTGGGTTGGGTCGGGTTGGGTTGGTTGGTTCTGTATCAGCAGATGTCATGATGTTGGGTCGGGTCGGGTCGGGTTGGGTCGGGTTGGGTTGGGTTGGGTTCCCAGTATCAGATGTTGGGTTGCCTGCAGGAAGACGACCATTAAAGATGATAACTGTTGCCCTCTGTGGAAAAAAAAACAGGAAACAACGCTTCGTCATGCATCCTGTGTTGTGATGCTTACAGACGCTGATGAGGTCATTGGCCCAGCCTGACAGTGTGGTTATCGGCAGTGCTAGGTGGTTACTGTCGGCAGTACCAGGTGGTTGCTGTCGGCAGTGCCAGGTGGTTACTGTCGGCAGTGCCTGGTTCTTACCATCAACAGTGCCAGGTGTTTAATAGCAGTGCTAGGTAGTTACCCTCGGTAGTGCCAGTCAATCAGCTGCAGGCGTGTATACCATCACTGACGTCAAGACCAGCTAGGAATTCTATTTAAAGTTTTCTGGGGTGTTGGTGCAAGTTTTCAATGGCATCCGTACTTCATGTTTCCTCTCTCGCTCACATAATATACGGAGGTGCTGGTTAGTTTGTTTACCGCTACTGTTGTGAGAGAGAGAGAGTGCGTGTGTGTGTGTGTGGGTGGGGGTCGGGGGGGTGTATGTGTGTGTTTTTCAGGAAATAACATATGTGTAATAACGCTAGCATATCCATATTTATGTATGTATGTGTGTTTGCATATATGTTAATGTGTGTGTGTGTATAAATGAAAGGTTTTAATATAGTGTTCTTTTATGCTGTTACACTGTTAGTTAAATTGCTAGTTTTGTTATTTGTAAACATTTACCGTGATGCAGGCTGGGGGAGGTGATGCAGGCTGGGGAAGGTGATGCAGGCTGGGGGAGGTGATGCAGGCTGGGGGAGGTTCATCATTAACACACCACATTTTTCTTGTCGGTGTGGTGTAGGTGTGGCAGGTTGTTAATAACACGGCACCATAACTCACCTGTCTCAGTGCCACCATTAGGTCCAGCCCACATTATCCTCGGGTGAAACACTACAGAGAATTTACGTGTTATGGCCTCAAGTCGGTGGCAGGTGTTGGTAGGGATATAGCCCGTGCTCCAGTGTTATGTGGGGTGAGTCAGCCAACCGGGCGTGCAGGGCAGAGGGAGGGCGTGCGGGAAGGCGTGCAGAAGAGTGCGTGCAGGCGGGAGGGGCACAATGGAGGGCGGATGGCCTGATGGGGGATTTTTATTTTCCCTTTGTTTGAAATTTTTAATGTAAAGGAAATTAAATCACAGAGTCGCAACCAAAACCTAACCAACCCTAACCTAAAGTAAGTTAGGTTAGGTTAAGTTTCAACTTAATCAGAATTACTTACAATTCGTTTATCACTCCTACTGTAGTTTGGTTAGGTTAGATTAGGTTAGGTTAGGTAAAGTTAGGTTAGGTAAATTCAGGTTAGGTTAGGTCAGGTAAGGTTAGTTTTGGTTACGTTGCGTTACATTAGGTAAGGTAAGGTTAGTTTAAGTTAGGTTAGGTCCCGATACTGCGATTTACTTCCCCACTACAGAATTTCTGGTAAGTGGAAAAGAAAGTCGGCTTTAGTAGGGAGGGCTGGCAGGAGGAAGGACGGGCAGGGCAGGGCAGGGCAGGGCAGGCTGGCTGGTGCAGGAGGTACAATAACCTGCACATGAACCATTACCCGGCCATAACCTGCATCGCCACGCCGCTCTCAATGTAATATTCCTTCCTGCTGCCGCTGCCCCTGGTCACGATGGTGGGGCCTGGTCTTGGTGCTGGGGCCTGGTCTTGGTGCTGGGGCCTGGTCTTGGTGCTGGGGCCTGGTTTTGGTGTTGGGGCCTGGTCTTGGTGCGTGGTTAAGACTGGTGCATAGGTAAGACTACTTGGTGTGTGGGTAAGACTCTTTGGTGTGTGGGTAAGACTGCTTGGTGTGTGGGTAAGGGGTGCATAGGTAAGACTACTTGGTGTGTGTGACTGCTTGGTGCGTGGGTAAGACTGCTTGGGTGTGTGGGTAAGACTACTTGTGTGTGGGTAAGACTGCTTCTGGTGTGGGTAAGACGCTTGGCATGGTAAGACTACTTGGTGTGTGGGTAAGACTGCTTGGTGTGTGGGTACGACTGCTTGGTGTGGGTAAGATTACTTGGTGTGTGGGTAAGACTGCTTGGTGCGTGGGTAAGACTGCTTGGTGTGTGGTAAGACTGCTTGGTGCATAGGTAAGACTACTTGGTGTGTGGGTAAGACTGCTTGGTGTGTGGTAAGACTGCTTGGTGTGTGGGTAAGACTGCTTGGTGCGTGGGTAAGACTGCTTGGTGCGTGGGTAAGACTGCTTGGTGCTTGAGTAAGACATTAAGTGATTTTAGGGTAAAGCCAGTATGGATTTTGGGTAACGTTACTGGAGTTTTGAAACTTAAATAATTCTATTTCTCAGGCAAAACTTTTCTTAACCGAAATTGTTGTTCCTGCTCGCGCGCACACACACACACACACACACACACACACACACACACACACACACACACACACACACACACACACACACACACACCACCATCACTACCATCATCATCACTACCACCATCACCACGCATCTTAACTACCACCATCATCACTACCACCATCACCACACATCTTAACTACCACCACCATCACTACCACCATCATCACTACCACCATCACCACACATCTTAACTACCACCACACATCTTAACTACCACCACCATCACTACCACCATCATCACTACCACCATCACCATGCATCTTAACTACCACCATCATCACTACCACCATCACCACGCATCTTAACTACCACCATCATCACTACCACCATCATCACTACTACCATCACACATCTTAACTACCACCACCATCACTACCACCATCACCACACATCTTAACTACCACCATCATCACTACAACCACCATCACTACCACCATCATCACTACCACCACCATCACTACAACCACCATCACTACAACCACCACCAGACATCTTAACTACTACCACCATCACCACACATCTTAACTACCACCACCATCACTACCACCACCATCACTACCATCATCATCACTACCACCATCACCACGCATCTTAACTACCACCATCATCACTACCACCATCCCACACATCTTAACTACCACCACCATCACTACCACCATCATCACTACCACCATCACCACACATCTTAACTACCACCACACATCTTAACTACCACCACCATCACTACCACCATCATCACTACCACCATCACCATGCATCTTAACTACCACCATCATCACTACCACCATCACCACGCATCTTAACTACCACCATCATCACTACCACCATCATCACTACTACCATCACACATCTTAACTACCACCACCATCACTACCACCATCACCACACATCTCAACTACCACCATCATCACTACCACCATCACTACCACCACCATCACTACATCCACCACCACACACCTTAACTACCACCATCACCACCACTAAACAACTACCACCATCACTATAATAACTACACTACACCACACTACACAATATTCCAACCCTACTACACTACACCACACTACACAATATTCCACCTCTTACTACATTATTCTCGGCTCAGATCTCTTAGGCTGAACGCTAGTAAGTGCTCGGGACTTTGTTAATTATGGATGCTCTTGATATCTTCGAATATACTGTGTCCATCAGTTACAGCAGCGACCTTGACCTCAGCAGTAGCAGTTCCCAAGACTCTCCAGCAGTTAAGATGGATGACAGTCACCTTCCTCGAGTCAGTTATAACGACATCACGAACCAGAGAGTGTTAGGACAGGGAGCGTACGGCATAGCCCGTCTTGTGAGTCTCAAGCTGGCCAATGGAGGGGTAGTCCCGGCCGTCGCCAAGACCTCCCACGAGGGCCAGTCTCTCATGGCCGAGGCCCTGGCGCTCTACCATCTTAATGGGGCTGGTGGTGCCCCTGTCCTTTATGGCGTCACCAGTGAAGACCCTCAGGCATTGGTTATGGAGTACTGTAGCGGCGTCACAGTTGACAAATTTTTAAAGTCACATTCTAAAGAAGAGTGCCTCGAGGCCTTCACCTCCATGAGTGAGGCACTCGATCAGCTCCACGCCAAGGGTTACGCTCACCGGGACCTACACGAAGAGAACATTATAATCGACGCCTCCTGCCGTCCATATACCGCACACATAATAGACCTCGGGTTCGCTATAAGACTCAAGAATGATGGACGCGACAGTGACCAACGCATTAAGGGATATGACTGGGACGGCCTCAGCGACATCCTCAAGGTCATTGAAGGGAGATGGCTAACCGCCTTAACGTTACACCTACACTGTATAAACACCTTAGTGCTTTTACCATGGGTCATCTACATAACACTATGCTGATATACTGTAGTCCACTTCTATCGCCACAACACTGTCTTCCTGGACTCTGCCATTGGGATCAGCGTCAACAATTCTGCTCCCAACTATACCGCCCTTCAGGATTTATTGAACAGTCTCCAAAACTGGGCCACCAACAACCATGTCACCATCAACCATACCAAGACCATGGTTATGCACATCAACCTCTCCTTCGACATTGTCCCACCTCCTTCCATTACTCTAGGTCCGAACACACTCCAGGTTGTAGATTCCACGAAGCTCCTCGGCGTCACCATAGACAACAAACTAAATTGGAAACCACACGTCAGTGAAGTTGTCAAATCCTCCAGTTTCCGTCTCCACCTCCTCCGCCGACTCAAGTCCCTCGGAGTTCCTGCACCCGAGCTCCTCAGTGTTTACACAACATTCATACTTCCCAAGCTCACCTATGCCTCCCCCACCTGGTCTTCCCCTAAATGCCACACAACGTAAACACCTAGAAAAAGTGCAAAAGGGCATGCAAGATTATTCTCTCCCCTTCCTACTCCACATATCAAGAAGCGCTCAACACACTGACCCTTTCGACTCTCACTGACCATCACCACGACCTCATCTGCAAATTTGGTAAGAAGCTTCTACACCATCCCCGACACCGGCTCCTACTACCACCTGAGATCCCTTGTCCGAGAATTGCTGTTCCACACCACAACCGCATCCAGCCCATACGTGCACGAACTGATCGCTATAAGAACAGCCCAGTCCCAACTATTGTAAAAATTATCAATAACTTGTAATAAATCAGTGTATTCACTCCCAGTAAACACTGCTCCTTACACTGTCACTATGTTGAAATGAACTGTAGTTTGAGCTTTTCCCCATCTAGTTATTATATGTCTCATTTGTGTCACTTATGTTACTTGTATATTATTTGTAATTCGTAACCCATTCCCCAAATATGTAACTGTATATTTTCAGCCTTCTGGCTGCCAAGCTCTTTCAATAAACCGTTAATTATTATTATTATTATTATTATTACACACACACACACACACACAGACACAGACACACACACACACACACACACATACAAAATAATAATAATAATAAATAAATAAATAAATAAATAAACAAATAAATAAATAAATAAATAAATAAATAAATAAATAAAATCTTTCTCCTTCCCTTTCACCTTTACCTTCCCTGCCTCTCCCCTTCTTCTTAAGTACCAGAGCAAACAATGAACCAATAGGGAAGTGTTCGTCGGGTTGAGTGAGGGACGTGGGAGGTAGGAGTAGGGGGGAGGAAGCAGGAGAGCAGATAAGAGGGGGGACGGAGTACATCTTCTTAATATCTCCCTCCCTCCCTCCCATACCCAATCGTCTAATCTTCCTCTCTCTCGTCCACTCCTCTTCCTTCCCTCTCACCCACTCCTCCCTCCCTCTTATCCACCCCTCTCTCCCTCACCACTCCACCCTCCACTCTCCTCCCGCTTATACTCCCCTCTCATCTACTCCTCCCCCCTTCTCACACCCCCTTACTTGTCGTGGGTGAGTAGTGTCAGCACTGTAAAGACCAACTCGTGTGCGATGGTTCGATGATTCATCTCGGCACCAGGCAGGGATGGGTTGCTAGTCCTCACGCTGCAGTTATGTGCTGGTGCAACCCTTCGTCAGCAGATCCCTCAACAAGCTCGTCAGGAGATTCTTCAAGAAACTCGTCAGCACACAGGGAGCTTCTGCAGGTCCCTCAACAAACTTGTCAGGAGGTCCTTTAAGAGGCGCGCGTCAGCAGGTCAGCTATCACTAGACTACTACAGACATACAACGTTATTAACAACAACACTGAGGTGATGGAGGCTGGTGGTGGTTGTTCCTACCTGGGTAATTAAGGATACCGGGGGACCTGTGATACCTGGTGAGAAGACTTTCACGGTCTACCGATTCCAGGCCACAGCCGAGCATGACCAACCTCTCCCTCTCTTTCACACACACACACGTCAACACTTGTCTCGTGGTCTTGATGTCGTCGCCTCATGATGGTAAAGGCCGGTCGTCAGTGCTGGCAAATTAAAGAAAGAAGAGGAGGTTGGTGAAGGTTCCTGAAGTAACTGACGTAAGACTAATAATAATGTCAGGCGTTGTTGTGACGGGACTTGGTCTTTGTTGTGACCTTAAGACACAACACCTTCAATGATGTGTCAGTTCAAGTCAGAAGAATAAGTGAGTATTGTATGTAGAAGAGTGAATGTCGCCTGCATGGCTGCTTGTGTTCCTGTAGTCACGTCCGCACTCTTACACACTGGATGTATGTGTAAATGTCATGTGCGTGTTGGTTTGCGAGTTTGTGTTTTTTCTTTGTTTTAGTGTGTGTGTGTGTGTGTGTGTGTGTGTGTGTGTGGACCAGCTGTACAACTTTTCTCCAACCATGTGTCGCGACCACCACAACCTTGTAGATGGTTGTTTCCCCTCCCTCCAACACACACACACACACACACTAGGAGCCGTAGAGCCAGCCAGGATTGTCGTGGCTCAGTGTGTGTGTAGTTAGATTCTTCTTCATTACTCTCATCTTACCCAGGAGTACATCATGCTGCTCTCCTCGCCCTGTCTGCTGCCCTCTCTGATTCTCCGTCGTGCAGGTCTTGTCTCTTCCTCCTGCTGCGTCTGTCTGCTGGGTTAATTTGTGTGTGTGTATAGATCAATACAAGTCAACATATAACTTATACATTTGGGCGACAGTCTGCATATTGTATCAGCTGAGAGAGGGGGAGATTAGCAAGGGAATTAGAAGATAGACACATACACCTAATGGTTATCACCTCGTGTAACGATGATGGCCGGCCCAAGGGCCACCAAGGCGTGAATTTGTTTAAGGTGTAGAAGCTGTCGCCAACACAACAACCACACCCTGAGTTAACGAGTTGCATGACCCAGTGTCAAGGAATAGTCCGAGAAGACCGGACAGCTCGCCAACTGCACTGGCTAACCATTACCCCGGAACACGATTCGCAAATCGATTAACATCCAGGTTCCCAATTACTGCTGGGTAGACAGAGGCAAATGGCGTAAAGAAACTTGTCCCTAGTTTCACCCTGCTCGGGGATCGAACCCGGGTCCGCTTGCTTGCGAGGCGAGCATGCTGACCATTACACCACAGGTCGACACACACACACACACACACACACACACACACGAGACCCACCTCAATGCTCAATAAATAATTTTGAAATGACCAGAGTTGGAAAGGAATTTATCAGTCGGGAATAGCTCACCTCGGGAAAAAAAAATATCCTGTATGTGTTTTATTATTTATTGCTGAAAATTGCTTTATAAAATTTTAGCGTGTGGTCATTGGGAAGGAAGCGGGGGGTCATTTGTGTTGGGGGGAGGCGGTGTTGGTTGGGGTGTGTTGCTGGGTGTGTTGCAGTGTTGGTCGTGGTGTGATGCTGAGTGCTGCTGGGTGTGGTTCTCAGTGTTGCTGGGTGTGTTGCAGTGTTGGTCGTGGTGTGATGCTGAGTGTTGCTGGGTGTGATGCTGAGTGTTGCTGGGTGTGTTGCAGTGTCGGTCGTGGTGTGTTGCTGTGGTGGTCGTGGTGTGATGCTGGGTGTGTTGTAGTGTTGGGTGTGTTGCAGTGTTGGGTGTGTTGCTGTGGTGGTCGTTGTGTGATGCTGGTTGTGTTGCAGTGTTGGCGGGGTTGGAGGCGTGGTGGAGGATGGCGGGGTAGGAGGCGTGGTGGAGGATGGCGGGGGTAGGCGTGGTGGAGGATGGCGGGATAGGAGGCGTGGTGGAGGATGGCGGGATAGGAGGCGTGGTGGAGGATGGCGGGATAGGAGGCGTGGTGGAGGATGGCGGGATAGGAGGCATGGTGGAGGATGTGGCGGGATAGAAGGCATGGTGGAGGATGGCGGGGCAGGTGGCATGGTGGAGGATGGCGGGATAGGAGACGTGGTGGAATGATGGTGGGATAATCATAAATTGAGGCCAGGAGCTTAGTGTTATTTCCTGGTGACGGTGACCGCATGCCCCGGATATGAACCTATGCATGATAGCTGTTCCTCCACGACCACCTCACTCACTGCTGCCGCCCCGTGTGTCCCCGCCCCGTCTAGGATACCCCCCCTACGCTATATGAACCTTGTATAACCCCCCACACCATGTATTAATATTGAAACAGTTTATTTAGCCAGAAGAACACAGATACAGAGTCGATAAAAATCATAATATTAACATGGCTGAGCTGTCATGTAGAAAACTGGTATATACTGTACATTTATCCCAAGGAAGTATTATGTAACATTTAGTATCATCTGCTTCTTGTCTACTTATTTATTAATTAATTATTTATTTGTATTTAGTTTTTTATTTTTCTGCATTGGATTTTTTCGTCTTTCTCGTGTATTTTTTTTATTTCTATTTTTTGTATGATTTTTTTCAGAGAGTTTTTTGTTGTATTGGATTTTTTTTATGTTGTATTTTTGGGTTTGTATTTTTTTTCCGTCATCTGGAGGGAGGACTGACTAATGTGTGGTTGAGGGAGGGAAGGGTGACCGTCGTGTGGTTGAGGGAGGGAAGGTTGACTGTCGTGTGTGGTTGAGGGAGGGAAGAATTGTGACCGTCGATGTAGTTGAGGGAGGAAGGGTGGTATCGTGTGGTTGAGGAGGAAGGTTGACTGTCGTGTGTTGAGGAGGGAAGGTTGACTGTCATTATTAGTTGTGAGGGAGGGAAGGGTGACTGTCGTGTGGTTGAGGGAGGGAGGTTGACCGTCGTGTGGTTGAGGAGGGAAGGTTGACTGTCGTGCTGGTTTGAGGAGGGGGAAGGTCGACTGTCGTGTGGTTACGGGGGAGGGTTACCGTCGTGTGGTTGGGGAGATAGGCTGTCGTGTGTGGTTGAGGAAGGAAGGTTGACTGTCAATGCCGGTTGAGG